CCCATTGTTGTTGCTGTAACAGTTGTGGTTTGTGGATTAATATGGTATCAATAATACTGCATTTGTTGTTCTTTTGTAAGATTTGTTGCTGCTATTATTGCTCCGCTAGAGTTACTATAGTTGTAACTTTTCCTGTATTTGATGTTGTAATTTCTACTGCTGCTATGTTTTCTATTTGTTGTAACTACCATTGCATTTTATTTCTATGTTTTTGCTTTTGCTTCTGCTTATGTTGCTACTTCAGTTGCTGTGGTGCTGCTGTTGATCTTGGTGATGCTGTTACGGTTTTTGCGGTTGTTTTTTCTATCAATAGTGTCGCTGCTATTCCTGCTGGATTGAGTCCATGTTTAGTCGTTAGTTTGCACAGTTCACATTTCTTTGTTTTGAGACACCCTTTGGCATTCAAAATAAATGTAATTTGCATGGATATGATATATATGCTCAATCTGCAGAATTTTGTAATCTACATGCGAGACACCTTAGATTTTATTTCCCACAAAATCCTCTCTTTCCACAAACTCAAGCCGAACTATACTTCAGTTGTTAATTCACTTCCTAGAACATTCTTAGGACCTACTTCCTCTTTGTTATTTCACATAATGAAATGATATACAACAGAACTACATGCCAAAACCTTCCAACGATATTTCGCATGACTATCTTTTGAAATAAATGGTGAATAAAGGATTGGTTAGACCATCTTCTATAAACATTTATTCTGTATTTCTTTAGTATGATCAAAATGAAAACATCTATGAAATAATTAACCTAATATCAGCAATCAGAAACTATTCATTTAACTATAGACACTATACATGTCATGTATATAGCAACTACCAAGAGGGGTTTGGTAGTGACGCCATTTCCTGCACTTTCAGTCAGAGAGGCGCAGCAAAAAAGCGATATTGTTTTTCTTTACCTTTATATAAAGGTTAAATATTGCACTATATGGCATGCAAAGCATGAGGCATGTAAGAAATTATTACCAGAAACATAACCAGTAGAAGGAAAATACTAGTATAAAGACCAAGCCAGGATTCGAACGTGGCCTCCTGAACACTGGACAGGATTGGAATGAAATATGGAGATAACGAACAGTATTCAAGCTCAAAATCCATTAAAACAACAAAAATCGGGAGCAGAGTAAACATGGACCTCTAAAAACATCAGAGGTGGGATCAGGTGCCATGGAGGAGTGAGCATTCCCTCCCTTCCGGTCACACCCACCGTGTGCTCCTTGTCATAATCGGTAAATAACGCAAAAATCCGTCGACAATTCAATGTGTAAATAATGGCCTCTCAATTAGTATGAAAAACGTCAGTCAGCATATGACATAATGATAGATTTAATTTGCTATTTCATATGCAACATCGTATACATGTATTCCTGGCACTGGCTGTTTTAACAAATATTCAATAGAAGAACATCTTACCATTAAAGTTTATTTGATTAGAAATTTCATCAGTTTACTTTAGTGTTTGTATTGTCTCAAAAGCGGCTGAGCATACGTAATATATTTTTACTCGTAATTTTGATTTGGCGGTGAGGAAGCAGCATATCCGGTTGAACACTGTGGCAGAAGCCGGCTATTGCTCTACGAGCAATTAGCCCGGCTAAAAACGACTTTGTCCAATCAGTAAGTCCATTTCAACGAACTTTCGTTACACACATGGTTGAATTTGTTGGTATACATATATTGTATATTGTATAACATGCAAGTCTTATTTAAGCCTGGAATACACATAAGTTTTAACTCATCTCTGTATTGTTCCTGACTTGTGTTTGATGACAGGTTTCTGTATAACAGGTCAGATTTTTTCCCTGTCATTAACTCAACTTTTATTTGGATCGTCTCTCTTTAGCGCAGTGGTTATTAAGAGTGTTTGCTCTAGAGTCGCAGCGTAATGACTTGATTCTTACGTCGCGGGTTCGAATCCACCTGGGGACATAAAGACCGGTCCTTCGCAAGAGACAGTATAAAACAAGGTTCCGTGTCTCAGTGGGTGCTGGCAGGAAAAGATCCCTCACTGCCCAAAGGCGGTAAGTGCCGAGTAAAGGTCTGAATTTGCAGCCCTCCATCGGCAAGTGGTGGCTTTCAATATGAGTGAAAAATTCTCGAAGGAACTTAAAACAACCAATCCAAACTTTTAATTAGCTGCTACCTTTAAGATCAGAGGAGTTCGATTCATTTTGAATAATTTATTATGGAGAGAGAAATGAAACATAATTAACAGTGCACTGGGTTTCCGACGATGATGGTCCTTGATTTACATGTACGAACATGACAATTACGTGTATATCTGAGAAAAGATTTTATTCAACGTTTTTAATATTACATCCTTGACACTAAGTCAACATTGTATCACAGAAACGACCTTTAAATATATATTAACCCTGTTTCAAGGTCATGCTATACTTAACACTAAGAGACAACAAAAATACATGTACTAATAAAAACAAAATTTCATTCCAATTAAATGCTTTATATATATAACTTTGAAAATTCATCCAATTAAAATTCCAAAGTTGTAACGAGGGTCCATTTCAATATCTCATTGCTAAATGACCTTGACCTTTGAGATATTTCTTGAATCAGGATCATATCACATTCAGGCAATGATTATAATAGGAGAGTTAAAGATCATTGAATATTTTAAATTGCATGTTGCAGACAAAACACTATTTGAACATCGGAATGCTAGATGACCAAATGTATTCGATATTGGACCAGGAAGTTGTAACGATCGATAGCGACAGTATATCCATGCTAGTGTTCTGGGGGTTTGGGTCATGCCAAAAGTCATATTATACATGATTGCAAACCATATAAAGGGGTGCATACTATTATTGATCGCAAACTGTACTAAGGGGTACATACTAAAAAGTCATATACTAGTATCGTACTTAACTTTATTTGTAAGGAGTCGATGGCAAATGCAATTTCTATTCTGATCAAGTGTTTTATTGAAAAAACCGCTTATAGTTGTAGCTGCAGCCTAATTAATTTCTCTTGATAGAAGCAATGTCCTTAGTTTTAATTAATTAAGATCTACAATGCCTGGAAAAACAAGCGGGGAAAACGAACATGAAGTTTTCAGATGTAAATGTATTATGGTTAAGATGTTTTCGAGGACAGTCCAGTTTTAGAAAAAAAAAATCTTTAGAAAAGATTTTAATTTGTTTGATAATACAGATTATTTATATGGTGTCATGTATTTTCAATTGATGACCAACTCTGCCCAGATATTTGGTCTTAACGTTGGACCCAGGAGGCATTAGTTTTATAATTTTGGCCAAGCTAGGGAAAAGTAGTCATTGTATTCATGCAAGCAGTTCACCTGCTATTTTTCCTTTTATAGAGATTCCTGAAGTTGTAAAAACAGTTTGACTGTATTTGTCCTTTTTAAAAAAAAAATAAATTGTTAATAAATGTATTTTTTAAAATAAAACCAACCTATGGGGCAACCGGGGGAGGGGGCGGGGTTACCCTGAAATTCACAAGTTTGGGAAAAGGTAGAGTACTCATTATCACAGATACTTATTTAATTTTGAAGGATGTATTCTGTTTTTAATGCTAATACTCTCAAAAATATATTTTAAAACGTTTAACTTCAGATCATAAGTTTTCAGAGATAGAAATATTTCATCCATAGTCTATGAAAAATCCGAAGAAGTCTGGTTTCCCACCATATGTCTAATGCCTTATGTCTCAAAAATATGCTCATTAAGTCATATTTTTCTCTTTATTTTTTGTTTCAAATAATTTCAAATAATTAATACATCAAATTAAAATGTCAAAATTTAAATGCAAATTTATATTAGCAGAATACCCACTTAAACCATATTTTATTTACAGAAGTGAGTGGGACTGGGCAGCAGGCTCAGCCGATTTTAGCTCTCCCCCTCATTGTCACAGATACTTGACGTTTTTAACATTTCTCTTCATTAATAAAAATACATGTATCTCCGTATTAATAATGTAGAATTTCTCTTTATTAAATGAGGAAATATGCTTAGAATACCAAGTTTTATATGCCATAATTATTTGAAATTGGTTCAGCAAAATCAGAGACGATCAACACGACAACAGACAAAAAAAAGCAATAGGTCACCTGATTGACAAGGATAATTATATATACATGTACAGTCAAAGATTTTATCTGTCCTTTTCCCCGATCCAAGCATCGGTCAAATTTTACACAGTCATGACCTTTTTTCTTCTAAATTTGATGGGTTTAGTTTTATTCTTATTTTGACTAATGGTGCCCTTGAAGTTCTTAGAAAGATTTTAAAAGGTTGTTACTATAAAATTCTTGTGTGATATTAAAGTAGTATCCTCTACACACTGCAGAATTACTTCTCTGAACAATGTGTTGACTGGTCTTGTCTGTGTGATACCGGTATATGTTCGATATTCGTACGATGGAGAAGACATGACCAGTCTAAACTATATGTTACTAAAGAAATTAATCTGTACTTTCTTTTACTTTTCTATTGGCTGTCTTACACCGTATAACAACCATAAAGAGATTACTCCGCTAAATAAAGCGCGAAATAAAAGGAAAGTAAAGTTGCTTTTGAAGAAAGAATGACACCCAAGGCCTATAAAATGGTATTCTCATGTAATTACAATGACAATTTTCTTTAACAAAGTAGAATTATGAAAAAAATGAATCAAAATTAATACACCTTAAGATTTAGTTGGAGGCAAATTGTTGCCAAAAATAGAAAACATATTGATTTTATAAATCAAATGTAGTCTAAGAGTTATCTTTCTTTGGGGAGGGTCAATCCAAATTAAAATGCTATTTGTTGGTTTTCTAAAATTTCATTAATATTAATTTATTTATTAAAAATAATTTATAAAATTCAATTCATTAAAAAACTCTACCTCGATTCCAATCTACGAATGAACTGATAACAATATGCAAGCGTAGTAATCCTGCTTTGGAATTTATTCCCTCTCCATTTCATATCCATGATAAAAGAAACAATGATATTTTGAAACAACAATTTTAATTTTTTGAACTCAAATAAATAAGAATTTGTTTTAAAGATACAAATTTGTAGTCAACAACAAAAAAATGAGATAGTTCAACAATTAAAGATGAACAGATACACACACAGACACACCATATTCACCTACAACACTCGTCCTTTAACTGTTTTTAATCATTAGACAAAAATAAATAATTTAAGATAAAATAGTTGTTAAAAATGTAAATAATAACAAAATACGCTTTGTGTTAAAATGCAAAAGAATGATTAAATTATTGTTAGAGCATCGAGAAAATAAAGAAACATTTGCTGCTGAGGTTGTTTAACGGGGGAAAAACCAGAAAGCGTTTATAAAGTTTCCGATTTAAAAAAAAAAAAATTCTCCAGCATGGCAGTACTCTCACGCAAGTCACGACAATCTGCTATTTGTAGCATTCAGACACATTTATTCTATGATAGATGAGGGAAAATACATGTGAAAGACACATTTGTCAAAAATGCATAAAGATGGCACACAGTGCCCAATCTAACGCGCCCCAGCATTCCTTTTACATACATAACTACATTTTTAGAGTCCATCCAAATTTCATATCAGAAATTCTTAAACGCTATGTGGTGCTTTCGTAAAACAGAAATTTTGTTTTCCTTTGCTTAAATTACACTGTATATTACAGCGTTAAAATTATTCAAATTTAAGCCCCAAAGGGAATACTTTACACTTCAACAATGTGTATGAACTGTGTATAAGTAGACAGTAAGGACTAATTCTTTTGCTTTTCGTGATAAATATTAATGCGGATGGACTATGATGACATGCCATTACATGGCTAAAGTTTGGACCAAATAATAATAATTAGAGCACTCATAATCAACATACATATTTTCAGTCTTGCTGTTCTGGGGACTATTTTTATAGTCGCCATTCGGTCATTATGGTGTCACAAAATATAGAAGGCACAATAGCTCCGTTCGTAACACCCTTTAAAGAAAGACAAAAGGAAGGAGAACATCTCACATATATTGTTAAACCACAGTCGCAAAATCTCTGTGAGATGGTTTACCCCATATTATGATCGGCGTCTGCGCACGATGAACTTCCGGTTTCGTATTCACTTTCTCATAGAGTTTTCCATCCTTTTTCATTCGAGAATTATTAATTAAAGGGTCTTTGCATAGTGGATTATGCATTCCGCCAAACAATGGCGAAGTCCGCCCTACTTTTTCACTAAAGCGATCTGTGACATACAGATGTGATTTAGTTAAACTGGTTCTCTCCCTTCGAAATTCTATAAATTGTCTCTGGCGTCGTGTGTCTGCTCTGAGCATGCGCACCGCCAGCAATACTAGTAAAACTAAAATGAATCCTCCTGCTATAGGTACGGCTATGACTGCCGCTTTGAACCACAAATCCTTGTCTTGATTGGCGGATCTAGTGTCTTCTGGGATGGAATGTGGAAAATTGTATTCTGGTAGTCCAGGGCTTACCGGCTCTGTGAAAATAAATAAATAAAGTATGTAATAAATAAATAGTCTTTTCAGTCGACTTCCAAGGTAATAGAGAACATATTCTTAGAGTGATAAACATATAAATGCACTTGTATTAAAATACTTGATTAATTTTGTGTTTGAGTAAATGATTTGATTGATTAATCTGTTGACTGTCCAGATGTAATTTTCTTGTTGCAAACACCATACATTATTAACTGTTTTATTTTTATTGGACTTCGGGATAGTTATATTTTCTTGCTTTGCAATTGGTTATTTTATTTGTTAATTACGAAAATTATATGATCTACGCACACACACACATAAAACTTTTACAAGAACCATAAACTCATTCCCCTTTTCTATTGATCAAAGATTCTCTCAACTTCATTACTTGATGACATTCTCCTAAAAGCGCTAAATATCGTTTGTATTTCTGAGTAATAATGAATATCATGTCCATTTCTAGCTTTTACACTGTCCATCGGGATATCCGGTCGCCGTTTTGTCTCGCCGCTACTGGAATCGCATCACTTCTCGCGAGACAGAGGTCTTCTTTAGAGGGCAGCTGAGTACGGATTTACTGCGTCCTCGTAAAATCTTTGGCTAGTTCGTCTGATATATTTCAATTAGATACTATCTTAAATGCAGTGAACTTTCGGAGTTTCCCTGGAAAGCTGTTGATATTATTTATCTCTTTTTCTTTAAATTTACTTTGTAAAGGAATGACCATTGTTTCTTACATGTACATTAAAAAATAACGACCTTTGATTATCACAAAATGAGATTATATGCACCCCGTGTAAAATATAAACCTGCCGCCATTTTTCTTTCAAACGGTACGGGCGCCCAAATATTAAATAGAGTTAGCCTGTCATAATTACATAAGAATTATCAGACTGAATGGTTATATAATGCCACAATTGTCTCTAGAGCAAAGAGACTCAAGCTAACATTTTATAATCAACTGCTGCGAGCTTACAGCGATAATCGGCGAGATTTTGGCGGGAATTCATAGCGCGGACGCCTCTATATCAACTCTCATGTCAGGCAAAAATGCAGAAAAAATACGAGTTTATTCTCTAGAGATTTTGGAACAAATAAATTTTGTTACGAATTTACATTTATCGTATAAAGAAGCATCTGAAAATAAAATTCTGTACCCAGTCCCCTTGTTGACTTTTATGCCGCAGTGAATTCAATAAATATTCCTATAATGACTCTTTTCTATATTTTATTTCTTTATCTGCATCCGTGATGGTGTAAAGTTTATAGTTTTGTACGGTTCTGCGATCTCCCATCTTGTTTTTTTTCTCCCAATCTTGTCTGTTTTCCCATTAAAAATATGCGTAAAATTAAAATGTCGCACGTAATATATACCCCCGAGAGATTTCATTTGCATTCGGTTCATTTTTAAGTAACATTAAATAATATTTTTGTACTAATCTCTTCATCGGAGAAGCAAGCGTCTCCAGCAACCGCTTAAATCTGACAATTCGTCACACTCCTTTGAATTTTTATGCGATTCACTCGATAAAAACCTGAAGAATTATGTACTCAGCTCAATTTATGTGTCGTCAAGCGAAGAAGGAAAATTTAGTCAATTAAATTTATTTGCATCTAATCCATGTAATGCTTTACAAGCTTTATACAATATTGTATTTATTTTTTCGTTTATACTCTGAAAACATTAACTTTTTTCTTCCTGAGATTTAAAAATCCCATTACATTTATGTTGCCAAGGTGACAAATTAAATCTGGCTGAACAAATGCTGATTTACATAGAAGACGGTAAATATGATGTAGATCGAGATGAATCGTTAAATTTATCATTTACTTTATCTCCGACGTATACATGTAGACCCTTGCCAGCTTGATTTATAAATACTGTAGTATGTTGTTGTCACTGAGCATTGTGCATACAAGTAAAAAAAAAAAAAGATGAAATATGTTCTTTCAAAAATTGGAATTACTATTAATCCATAAGGAAATAATCAGAGTATTCTGCTTTGTAATATAAAAGATAACACACATATATATACATGTATATATATATATATAGACTGTACATTGAATGAATTAAAAACCTGAAATATCCTTGTTATTGGCGCATGATGGTTTTGAACGCAGAAAGAAACAAAGAAAAGAAATCCTAAATATTTTAAACAGAACTTTTATTTAAAGATTTACGAGATGGATACAGCCTGAGGGTTCCAGAATGTACAAGGATTTGGAGAAGTTTAAAATATTCTGAAATGAGGAGAAGTTTAAAATATTCTGAAATGATTACAAAATATTACTGCAAAAAGGACTAAAGGACTATATGTAAGTATCGCAATACTATCGAGAAACAGAATCAGGGTGTAAAGTGTGATCAGCTTATCTTAAATGTTCAGTTCCTCGCACTTTATAAAGAAACCACGAAACATACGTTGGTGTGTAAAATGAAATTTATTCAAATTGATTAAAAGACCGTAATTAACGCGATCAGGCTAAAACCTTATCCGCGACGACCTGGCGTTTTCCGGACAGGCATTGAATGAAAAGCTTGTCGGTATTTATACAAGTGATAAAAGCGGATGGAGACAGGTGTTGTAGGGATTAAAACCACTCTGGCATGCAGTCGAAATTCTCAAATCTTTTTTTAAAAAGGGGCGGAGATGTTTATTCATAGTTGGTGGATATATTGATTTAAATATTCCTTATCCGCATTTGCACTTGTACGTTTTAAAATCTAGGTAAAAAAAATGGCAGGGTTTTAGTTTTCAAGGAGTCTAAGAGACGGGCTTAATGACGAATGACAATGCGGCGTTTGTTTTAACTTAAGGAGATTCTACGATTTGTCAGTCATTGACATAACGAGACATCGAAGCCTATAAATCATTCTGAAAATCAGACCGAAGACGGAAATTTCAAATTTTCTATTTTGGCAAAAACTTTTTCTGGCAGCTTGTCTGTTTAAATTATCAAATATACAAAGCCTTTTTACCGTATTTTTTATGAATGAAAATAACCAGTACTTCTATTATTTGTCTCATTACATTACTCCAGCTTCTGGACACCTTTGCTCTTTATTTTCAGATACGTTGACGTGTTTTAATGAAGAAGACAACGTACCAAAATGTCAAAAAATAAAGATTCTAATTGGCTTAAATTTTGAATGTGAAATATTAACTTTAAACACAAACAAACAAAAATCTAAACTGGCAAAAGTGAGTTTTTCTTGCACATATTGTATGTTTAAATCACATGTACTATACAGGTATATATGTTTCCACCCTTGCCCCTAAGCTTGAAAATCTAGGATCCACGCCTGTATCCCTGATATCAATAACAGGTGCCTGTAAACCTAGGACATTAAGAAATGCTGTCAGGGTATGACCCCAGCACTCAGCATAACTGGGTATCCGGGGACATTCTGACTAAGATGTTTGTTCTGCTAGCGACTGATAGCGTTTGAATGAAAAGAGCAAACACAAAACACTTTCCTAATGGAGGCACGTCGACAGTGATGATTGATAAGGGCCTGAGATAACTACCTCCAAACATATTTTATTCTATTTAAAAACAATATGTATTCATAATGCAATGGATTTTTTTTTCTCTCTTTTCTTTTTGTATCTTAAGGAATGTAGACCAACAGAGATTAACAAGGGGTCGCAGAGGAGATTTTAAACAAATTTATCCAAGTTCAGGAAAAGTCGCAACATTTTTCCTGACTTTTTTTACGATTTGCTAAATAAGCGAAATCGCTTCTTTTAATGGATAAAACTAGGTTTAGAATGGTATCATTTCTTGTCTTTAGCAATCTCATCACATAAAAAAAATTCCTATTAACATGGCGACTGTGCCTCAACAAGAAATGACCTTTCTAAAGATGCCGTAACGGGAACAACCTTAACGTGATTTGCTTACAAATTCAATGTACATGACGAGAGTTGTAACGAGACTTTACGAGAATTCCGGTCATCCATCACTCATGACATTTGCTGCGTTTTTCTTTTGACCGTGGGTCTTTTATGTCAAAGAAAGAGAGCGACAGTTAAGTTAGGAATACACATAACAGTATGAATGGAGGTACAATACTGCAGATAATGCTTACTTCTATAAATCAAATATTGTCTTTTTCTTGTTAGATCGTCATTTAAAAAAAAATACAAATTCTTTTTTTCCCCTGACAGTCGAAATAGTAGAGCACGTTTCGTACATTAAACATGGTAATTACAGGGCCTTCCTTTGTTGTGGATATTTAGAAATGAGCAGATCAAACGCAGAGCAATTTTATGACGGTTGTAAACGTCAATAGATAAAATTTTTACAAACGCCCGAACAAGGAAAAAAACATAAATGGGGTTAATTACAAGAGTATTAATTTCTCGAAACTTTGAAATGTATGTATGTTTCCTTTTCTTTTAATTATGCTTATGTGTTAAGATACTATGATAGGTAAATCGAGTATTCTTGTAGACATATCCTTGCCATGGTTTACTTATACTTCTTGTTCAATGTAAAAAATGTGTGTGTATATACTATTTCAAAGGGAGGGGAGGGGCAAGGAAAAAAAGTTTTCCTTAAAGCAGAAAATTGAGAGGACAGACATTACCACTGGACAGATACAAGTACGCATAAATGTTCGTTTATGTAATCAAAATATAAGCTGTAGGAATTTCATACGACTATGCAACATTTATCTCCTCTTGTTACTTATATAAAAAAGTTTAGATCCTCACCTGGTTTAACCAATGTTCTATTGGGAGGAACGTTCATCACGATATTATAATTGCACAAATCCTTGCTACAACAATGCACCACTGGCTCATGGTGGTACTTCACAAAGTTCTCGTAAGTTTGTGTTTCACTTTTTGTGTCACATATATTTTTATACTTTTTGTTCTTGACTAATGCGTCCATACACCCTTGTGAGTATCGGGGCGTACTGCCATCGAAGGTTTTCATGACGTAACACATTTTGATATTTGACGATTTACAAATCTGTGTTCCTGAGCTGACACACTCGGGTTCGTTACATCTGCACCGTATCTCGGCTACAAGAAAAATATAAAAATAATTAATAAAATCAATTATTATCATATTTCAGAAATCCTTTAATAAGATGTTAGTTTTTCGGTTCAATTGTTAGAATGCTGACGTGTTCGGGAAGAAGTCTTGAACACATAATAAGCTAATACAATGTTGATAAGACAATTAGGGATTTTCTTAGTTTATACATGTATAGTTATAAGTGCATCAGAACGATTTCTTAATCTTTAGTCCTCAGCTTATTATTCTTAGGAAGAACAGCATTTTACACATCGTTTCTACTAAATCTAATTTGTTCTGGAAATGGAAAAAGCAGGGAACAAGAAACAAAGCAATTAAGCTTACAGCGCCGTCTGGTGGAAGTATTCAAAAAATTTCAACAACAGGGGGCGCGACTACTTGTCGCGGAACTTTTCTACAAGCTACATGTACCACTAAACAATCACCTTACAATGTCTTGCAATCTTGTTGCCTCTTTTTCTTTTGTTCTGTTTAGTGCACAGATGCATCCATCTTGATACAAAAGTCTAGTTTTTTTCAATATGCACAAACAATATACTTGTATAAGCTGCACTATTTATTTAAACTTCTCTTTGAATTCATGGAAAAAGTCTCATAAACTTTTTCTGTTTTTCTGGTTTTCAGTTCTTCCGCCAGTCTGACGCTCGCAATACTTAAAGAAACTTTGTTAAGCCAAATGGAATGTGATCTGCTAATTGGATGACAACATGCGTATGGGTCAGAAAGGGTTGAAATTCAAGAAAACTTTATTAGTTTTGAGAATGGTGTCGGGGAGCATTACTGATGATGGGGACCAGATATGGCACCCAATGCGCCGCTATCATCTCCGGTTCTGAAGAATTTTTATGGGGGCTTGATCGTGCTCCGTTTATGCTGATAAGAATTTCAACCAACCTGCTACTGGTACCCTCACCAATAGACTGATTGATCAGCTGAGTTGATTATTGGAAAGGAAAAGTTGATTATTGGAAAGGAAATGAATTTAAAGTCAATTATCTTCTTAATAAACAAAAAAAAAATGTTTTTCTTTTTGGCATGCAATATTAAAATGAAAAAATTATATATGTGGTATTTTTAAAAGACAAACTTAAAGTTATATCCAAAATATACCTGTATCATATACTAGTAAACAAACACGACAGAAAATACATCATTTATTTATTATTTCATCTGGACAGTAGTGTTCAAAGCTCTTTATGTAATCTGTCGTGACGTAAAGCAGGATTCGTTTCATCCTCGATCTACTTCAGATTGACACGCAGTCTGTGGTGTATAGAACTATTTTTTTTTCGATTGATTGAAATCTTGAAGTAGATTAACGCTAATCTCGCGCTCGGTGAGATTTGATGGTTTTGGCGGGGGTACCTAGCATTGCAGACGCCAGAAACTATGTATAGCGAACCCGAGGTTATATTGTCAGACAGTGTGGCATGATATCGTTTATCGTGATCAATGCTTACAATACAGAAATATGAAAGATGAGGAGAATGCAATAACAAAAGTTATTAAAGAGAGATTATATACGACCTTCCAGAGAAGTTTCTTTTTCCGGCATTTATGAAGTGTAAAAATTTTGTCAATAAGATATTGAGACCGTTTTTTCCCTCTTCGATGTGTGTGCATACAGATTTATCAGATCACTAGGAAGACAAAGTTTGCAGCATTAACTGTTATTGCAAAGGAATCCGGTACCAAATCATTCTAAAATCGCCGGAACTCTTCAGTTTAGAGGAGCGAATTGAGACCTCATTACACGGCAATTAAACGATAAGTGCTGAATAATTGAATTACACTTCAACTCCACATGTAGCAGTGCGTTACTGCAGAAAAAAAAAGGGCGAAAGCATGCATACAATCTTACAAATATCTAATGCCTCTTTAAATCTGTTGTGTTACAGTACAGTGTTAAAGTTGCTTTTGTGATATCTATAAGTAACGTGTTTGTATATCATTTCATCACAAAATGAATAGATGGACAACCATTGTCTCCCAGAATGAATTCTAATGTGTCATTTTGAATATAAATCTATACACTTGAGGTGAAAAACGGTCCAAATTTAACTTCATTTATGATCACAACAGATTCGATTTTAGTCGCTTCGCCAGACTCACAGAGCCATCACACGCTTTTATCCGGCAGACAGATGCGCCGCTTAGATGCTTTCATTTTCGCTCTACACAGCGATATCTCCCGATCGACGGGTTTTTCACTAGCTGTCGTCAACTTTACGATAACTATCAAAATATTTACAAGCAGATTTGAAAGCATGTTGCCTTACATCTTCTTGAGCCTTACTGCGATCGGACGAGTCGCGCTGTCGACGTAAAACGTGTCTCCGGTAAAGGACACAGAACGGACTCCTTTATAGATTAGCTTTCATCGTATGGGAATATATAACTTGATTATTGTTCACTTAAAAAGAACTTTTTTTCAAAAGCCAATTTTTTTGGTTTGTTTTTTAGTTTAAAGAAAGATGTGAAAGAATAGGAGAAGAAAAAAGGATTATCTTTAGCCAAAAAATGAATACATGTAACTGTTGTAGGCTAAGTTCCGATATTGTTTATATATATCGATATCTGTACGATTGCTGGTCGTTAAAGAATGCATGTTCTCTATGTGTTTACAGGAGATAAAACAGAAAACAAATTGATAAGCCAGAAAAAAGTCTTTATTCGCTAATTTCTATTCATTATGGTCGTCTAGGTTTTTTAAAAGGCATATTTTCCTTGCTGTTTGCTAACAGATTGAAGTTTCCCCTTTTTATCGTTGTTTGTTGCGAGGCAATTAGAGATTACATACAAAATACCTCACACTGACATACAATCTGATATAAACGATTTTACTGTGCTCTTGAGGTAATTTCCTAATGTCAAAAATCAACGGACATTCTTCGGAAGTTGTCGGAGACTGTCAAACGACTGTTTCCTAATTTTATATACAAATAGCCTAAATGAATTTTCCTTTTGCTTTTAAATGTAATTTGCCCTTAGTGATGCATATATCTATTTATGAATCTCAGAAATGGGACAAATCAAAACACTTAGCCGAGGGCGACATTCTAATTACCGGCAAGTTGGCCGTCATGGTGTCTAAATAAAAGAACCAACAACGGATGATATAATCCGTAATTTCTAAATCAATTTCTGTCTGCCAGATTAACATTGAATTCCGTCAATACGGTACTTCGTGTCTCACATTAGAATAACATGTGCTCTATGGCGACATCCAACGAGGTAAAACGGCAGAAAAAACACAAATCGGAAAAAGAGAAAAAACAAAACATAAAGCGATGCGAGGATTTATCAATTAAAGATCACTGATGATTTTTGCAGACTTTTCCTTCGCCAAATTAAATACGTTATTAAGTATTTAAGAGAGCTCTTAACTCGCTTGACGGTATGATTAGGACATCCCGCGCCATGTTGACGCCGTAATTCGTGATCATACACTATATTATCGATACATTTTAATGTAGATGTAATGCGTTTGAACATCTTGTCTAGACTAATACTTTTGAAGGGAACTTTTCATACTTTACTGCTCCGGTAAGACGGTTGAGACCAGGGTTATCAGAGGATTATCATTTAATGGAGACGAATGGCATTGTTTGTCTCTCAAAAACCTCATCAGTGAAATGGAAATAAGATCCGAAAGTTTGCCTCCCCGGTAGTTCAATGTGCATCGGTCATCCTCGGTGTTTTTCTTTGTTTTTGCAGTATTTGTTAATCCAAGCTTTCTTCATTTCTTTGATCTACTTCTCAGTCAATTTTCTCGGCATTTCACGAATCTTTTGACTGGCTTTTGGATTAAATTCTATATTCGTGACAACATTGATATTATATGTCGATGTGCATTTGATTGAATTTCAACATTAGATATTGTTTAAGGGTAGACTTTTTTTAAAAAAAAATCGTCGTCAAATTCTTTTCTAATCACGTGCATCTGGCGTTCTGTAATTATACTTGCTAAATTTATTTTAATTCGAAATTTTCCCGAACACCTTTCCTTCAAATGTCAACTTCAACTACACCATTCAAATTTTATTCTATAATTAGTAATCAAAAGTACGTTGTATTTCTATAGTAGACTTCGGAACAGGCATCTCCCTATAATCAACATTGAATGATTAGAATGCTCTCTTTGATCGAATCAAAACTCCGGTATAAGCAGGCCGTGTCCATCCAGACATTCGCTACCTAAGGCGACCCATCTTTTTGATAAAATCTGACGAAAAAAAATCGCCAATAATTTTAGGCCTGTGGCAGTTGACTTGAAATGAACAGCAGAGGGTGGGCCTAAAAAGCTACCTGAAGAGTGTTTCTCATCGACCGAACTAGCCGCATATTTACAAAGCTCTGCGTGATAGGGATTCAGTCAAGAAGCTGGTCCGACTAATTCACACCATGACTTAATATCAAAGTTTTATCAACAAAAACAGTTTTCTAGTAAATTGTAAAAGAGATCATCGGAGGTTTTACTACTATCTCAATAAAACTGAAGATGCAAAAACGCGTGATTGCATTTAAGTATCAGTCACTTTTAAAACAAAAGGTCATATGCTTTAAAGTACATATAAACAATAAGATTTACTCGAGCTGACATTTGATCCCGCACAGTGCCGCAAACTTTTATCTTCCATAACCAGGAGCATTTGTAAAATAATGTCATCACAGCTTTTTATACCACCGGTTCTCCATTCGGCACCGCCTTTTAGTTTCCGGAATCGATTGAGTTTTGGGCCTGAGAATTTTTGGGTACCCGGAGATGCACTCTCGTTCTGAAATCTCGTTAACACTGTCACGCATACGCTTGACGAGATAATGTTCAGCATGATCACAAATGTTTCATTTTTAGGCATTAATTATACTTTTCTTTACGAAAGAAAGTGCATTTTTAAGACTCTACTATCCATCCCCAAATAAATCGAAGACAAAGTAGCAAAGAAATAAATCGAGATGCCTGCAAAGAAATGATGACTTAAAT